TTTAGCCTTGGTGACGCCCGGCCCCTGATTGTGTTAAGATTTGAAATTTTGTCGCCCTGGCTTATCGTTCCGTTCCCAGCTAGCTCAAGGGGAAATCAGTGGAGCTTTTGACCCGAAAACCCATCGGAAGGATTGAACAAAAATAGTTTTCCTGAAACAAATCTACAGCGCCCACAAAAACTAAATTTCTGTTAAGCAATTTGAAAATTTAACTGATTATATGTATATGTAAACAAACAGAAAACAGTGTAACCGTAGACTTTGGTCACCCTTTAGGTTATAGTAGATTATGAGCCGATTGTATTTAAGAAGTCACTTTGGTAAAATATTTCCCACCAGAACGCAAAATATGGATGAAATCCATCATTATCACTGTTCTAGATGTCCCGGTGAAAACGCCGACTAATTTTGACTGCGATTACCTGAACTACAGTAAAATACTAACATAAAAAATACCATACCAAAATAACTATTTCCCCCAAGTTGGCAGCACCTTTTCAAGAAAGCACGTTGTCATTTTACCATCTGTTCTAATTTATTTTATATTTTGTGGTCCGGAAAAGTGAGAAAAGTGCGTGCGTGACTCCAATATCTGTACCAACGGTACGGATGAATGGGACTCTCTTCATGTGATTAGTTTATTTTGTTTAATTGGAGTTTTCAGCAAAAAGGTCTACGCAAGAGGGATCGACCAATAAGGTGACTTCGTTTTAGGAGCAAGGTGAGTGTACTTGTAAGGTGACGTCTCTGCTTTCCGTGTGTCCGTTTTTTGCAGTCGTCGTCTTCTCTTCAGCTTCTTCTAAGATCCACGTACATAGATATTTTCTTCCATTTTTGCACTTTTCTTATGAGCAAACAATAGATGCCGTTGTTCCCCCCTTCTCATCCCCTGTCAACTCTCTCGGCTCTCTGCAAAGCCATCAATAAAAATTGATGACCAAAATTTTCATTTTGGATTTTCAGTTTATTTAAGCGAAAGGCTGTGGGGAAAGGGCCAACAGATTGCAACCCCAAGCAGCAGCCGACTGTCAATTAATAACCCCAGAACCGATATCGATGGCCGATAAGGCAGTACTTCCGCGGGAAAGTGGGAAAGTCGAGCCGCGACGCGACTCCGATCCGACGCTTTAAGTGACTGCCAGCTAAATCTAATAAAAAAATTGACGCTCTCTCCACGCAACTTCGTTGCTGGGCGAAAGTTTTTCTCTGTTTCTGCTTTTGCCTCTTTTTTTTTTGGTTTTTTTTCTTCTTTTTTTTTTGTGTGTCGCTGTCATAAGGAAACTAAGGATTTCCGTTTTGGCTTTGGTTCGTAAGCCGAGCATCAGCTTTATAAAAATTTCAGTGGATGTTGTCGCACAGACAGATCAGAGTAGGGCAAAGAAAAAAGAAAGTAAAAGAAAGGAGAGGGAGGGGAAATTATGTAAAAAGTTGTTTCGTGCACGTTTAGTGACGCCTCCTGGTTATTAGTTGGTCACAGCTGCATGCCCATCATAAGATGGGGCGACACACGTTCCTGGGCAAACCATTTTTCATTAAGTTTTCGCGCCATATTGCTGCCTCTCATAAGTTATATAAAAGAAATATATTTTATTCGTGTCTTGGCAATTGTCTGTCTGTCTTCCAAAGAAATAATATAAATTTGCAGCAATAAATTACACGAAAGACTCGCTTTTTCTTCGGTGTGCGCGAATGCTCAATGAAGTAAGAAAGTGGCTTTGACAGGAGTCGAGCACATAATTTATACAGTTCGTATAGGTTCTGGCATATTCCCAGAAACCGTCATCAACAGCCCCAGCAGCTCGTCAGTGGCACAACATTCTTTATATGACAGGAGAGATATGCCGTAGAGGAAGCTTCAAATTTGCATGCACATCGTATGCGTAACCTGGCAAAACATATCTTTCCCACACATGCTGTACATATCTGGTCTGGTGAATGTGTTGTCTGGAGAGCTAATAAAACTTATTGTCAGCCACAGTCTGACCCACTTTTCCATTCATTTTGTTTTTGCCTATTTCTTGTTTGTGGATTTTTTCCATTGTTCGTTGGAATAATTTGAATTTTAGAATAATGGAGTCACAAAATGTCAGTGCGCGTTATCAAAATCATTTATATGCGAAAACAACTTTTTGGCCATGGCAGCTCCCAAGTGCCAACTGCCAACAGGCAGGCAACAGTCGAAAACAGGCAACAGCCAACTGCCAGTTGCCAACATTTTAAATCGCTTACAATGCTTCAAAATGAAAGCAAAGAAGCAGGATAGTTGTCGGGCCCAACTGGGAATGTCTATACATACAAACTTATATATGTAAATATGTATTCAAATGTGGCAAAAATAAATGAATTATGGTTCTTGGTGTTGGCCAAAACTTTTTGGGCTTGGATGTGTGTGCCGGAGAGCTAAGTGTTAATGGAGCAGGGGGAAAATCCTTAAAGTGCCCAAAACAGAAATCAAGCTAATCTCTGATGAGGCAGAGAAGGAATCTCTAGTTATTAAAAAACTTTTCTTATTTGTATTCACATACAGATTCTTTAAACACAGCCACAAAGGATAAATAAGGATTACTATGCTGTTCTTCTGTAATGAAAGGACATTCCCCAGAATATTTTCTTAGCATTTCTCTCCTTTAACCATCATCAAAAACTATTACCTACTCATGGAGTCACACTCCTTTGTTCTCTCAACACAATTATTTCAAACAATTCTCCATTTCGGACAGATTCAAAGCCATTAAGTCAGCACCACTGTCAAAAACAAACACATAATAATTATAATGATGATCAAATAAAAGTGGAAATTAGCCCTTAAGTTAGTTAAGTGGAGTGTAGGTAAGAGACAAAGGAAACTACTGATAAATAATGCCATACAAGGCAAAAAGTGGCAGCCAAATTTGCAAAAAGACAACGTCTAATGAGTCCGCTGAGGAGATGGCGAGAGTTGGGGTTAGCAGGAAAAGATGTCTATGGGTGGCTAGACCCCGAAGCTAGTCAAATAGAAAAGGAAACGAGAACTGAAATGGGTTTGTGGCAGGACTAAGCGTCTTTGTTGGCCCATCCTCGCGGAAGGGGTGAGTGTGGGTAGCGTCTCTGGTCTCAAAGCCGAAAGCCCAACAAAGAAAAGGCAAGAACAGATGGAAGGAAAAAAAACTCAATTGCCGCACAAACCGAGCCGCCATTGTTTTCTTAATTGAGTGCCTCTGCCATTGTATGGGTGTACGATAGTATCTGTGTGTGTTGAATAGATGCTGGTATGGGTGTTCATGTTTGATTAAGGACTTAGGGTGTCCTGTATGTGTGCGTACTATCTGCTGGCAGAGCTGCTTATCAATTACATTGAATTTTTCCAGGCGCAACTTGTTTTCTGTTGACTTCTCCGCCCATCGCACCCATTTGTCGTGCCAATCAATGGCTACCGGAAATGATGGCATAGGCAGTCACTTCGACTTTCACTTCCCTTTCCGCTGGTCGCCTTTCCTTCTCGTCCTCCCTTCCGATTCGACGCTGATTTCACAACTCGCCGCACGGAAATTGCCAGCCCCCATTTATGGCTTTATTACACTCCACCTGGCCCATACTCCATCTCCTCTTCAGAGCTGTACCGCATGCACTGCATTTGAAAGCAGTCAACATTCTTTTTATACAACCGTTTGCATTGGCTCCTGAGGACGTCGATCCTCTTCAATGTCGAGCTTAAGACTTCCACTGATTTATTCCGTTCACGTACCGCTCACTGCACACTTTGATTGCCGCATTGGGATGTAAATCTCGGGCTCTAAAAAGAGGGCCAAAAATTCGGTGCCATCCAACAAAATCTGGCCCACGTCAACACGCATAATCGGGCTTTTAATTTCGGTCAATAAAACGTTGGATGCTTTAATGTCACGAACGTGAAAAAACTCTTCTTTGCGGGATTTGACAAAAAGGTTTAAGGAGAGGCAATAAAAATAGGTGTTTGCCTCAAGAAGAAATCAAGAAATTCCAAAAGGCGCTGAGTTTTTCCTAATTAAATATTATCTTACCGAACGAACATATGATGCAAATGCAGGAAATAATGGTCGGGAATCCTTATCCTATAAAAGCAACTTTTCCATCATTAAACGTTGTGATATTCAAGTCCCACCTCAACAAACTTTTATCCACGAGAGTCCTGAAACTTTTGGCAAAGTTTACGCATAATTTTTAATGATATTTTCCCGCATTTAGCCTTCGAAATGTGGTTGGTGTCGTCTTCGAGCACTTTCGTTGGCCTCCAGGGATCCCAAATACGTTTCCGGCCAAACAACTTTATTCAATTTCTCATATTGCATTGGCATTTGTATTTTATTAAGCTGTTGTTCTCTGAGCTCCTTGATATTAAGATAAGACAACTTCTTGGTAAGTTTTCTTTCAGGATATTAAATAAATTTCGCCAGTTTGTTATTAACATTTTATGGTAATCTCCGGCAAACGATTGAAATTGCTTCGCCAAACAAGATATATCATAGAGAAAGTGTGCTTTAATATTTGTAACAATCTTTGGTTTCCGTAACGAAATAAAGTTGAACAAAGTTGGACAATGTCCAACCGAAAGAAAGGCGACAAAATTCGACAAGCCGTAACGTAACGATAACAAGTCTGAAGGAACACGATAGCCAAAGACACTCGAAATTCATTCAATTGACTGACAAAATTTTATTCTTTTTTTTCTCACAGTGAAGATACATTTTCGTGTGAATTCAGACTCGTGCACGGCCTGACAGAGTTAAGGATCAACTGGTGGACCAACCTCAACTTCTGAGCATTAAAATCACTACCAACATGGAAGAACCAAATAAAACTAAGAGCGAAGCAGATAGCCCCGAATATATTGTTGAGAAAATAGTCGGTCAGAGAACTCAGAAGGGATGCGTCGAATATTTTGTCAAATGGTTGAATTACCCAGAAGCGGATAATACTTGGGAACTTCCCAGCGACCTGAACTATGACCATCTGATCGCCGCTTATCATACTCAACAGAGTGTAAAGCGTCCATTCACTGTTGAGAAAATAATCGGCCATAGAACTCTCATGGGTAATGTCGAATATCTTGTCAAGTGGTTGAATGTCTCCGAAGAGGGTAGTACTTGGGAACAACCCAGTAGCCTGGTCTGCGACCATTTGATCGCCGCCTATAATCTTCAAGACCTGAACGATGTGTACGAAAAGAAAGCAAAACGATTGAAAGTTGACCCCACGCCAGTCATTGATAATCCTTTTAGTCGTGGCTTTGAGGCTGAAAAAATACTCAACAGTTTCAAAAACGGAGAAGAAATATCGTTTCTAATAAAGTTTCGTAATCTGGAGCTGCCGCTAATGATCAAGTCCTACGTGGCCTATGTGGAAATACCCGACATGGTCTTTAAGCACTACGAAAAGACATGCACATTTGTAACACCTAAATAGCAATCTATGAAGAAGGTAATATACAGTTTTTTTTTTAATTTATCCAAACTAATGTCTAAAAATTTCCTTATTATTTAACAGATCAATCGCTTGGCCACAACCCAAATAAGCTGCGGCAAAGCACTGAACAATTCCTAAATCGAATATTATTTTTATTTGAAGTTCTTTAAAGATGTTCAACGTTTGCACTTGATTTCTATTGCATTCAATTGTGCCACTTTGCGTAACATAATAGAAGGAAATAAATGGCAACTTTTAAGTGATTTTCAGGGCGTGTTTGTTCCGGGTGCCCCGTGTAAACATTCCTAATTGCAACAACAACGGGGAAGGCTCCAAACAGGCGAAGAGGCAAAGAGCGCGAAGAATTTTCAGCACGGGAAAATGAAGACAAAATATTTGCATTCCTTTTTTCTCCCCATCCTTTGGCCCCCAGTGGATGGGGCGTGGCTGGTCGGCCAGTGGCCTATATTTGAGGCTGTTTTCAGCGTTTTGGTTTGTGGCGTTACTCCCAGCAGGCACGTAGTACCCGCACCAGCAGCCACCATAGAGAATGCTTTGTTTATGCAACAAGAAATGCCTCCTGCAGCTGCACGAAAAAAGCTAAAGTTTGATACTGCAGTTCCATATGGTACATACATAGAAAAAATGTTTGATACTGCAGTAGAACAAATGTTTAACCTACAATAAATAAAACAAAAGCTCGGTTTCAATTAGTCAGACGACTGCTCTTTTGTTGCTTAATTTTTGTGTAATTTTCATTGGCACTGGCTATACCCGGAACTCGTAAAAGACAAATTAGAACCCTACAATATAATCATATGTAGTCTTGTACATTGAATTTACTCTTTATGTATTCATTATCAGCATCAGCATATATCCAAAATGCAGATAGTTCGCACTTAGGGGTATCCATCAGTGCTGCAGCACCATTGTCTCCCATTTTTGTTTAAGGGTAATGAAGCGTTGCCTTGTGGGAAAATTGCAAATAAAAACAAAAGAGAACAACAAAAATTAATTACGTGTCCAGGCGTTGGCTGTGGCTGTGGCTGTGCCTGTGCCTCTCTGCCTATCCCCACCACATGCCATTATTTTTTTTGTTATCCATGAGGTCAAGGGTTAAACATATACACACATGCGGTATTTGTTTACGTACTTGAGCCGAACCTCAAACAATGGTCGACCCACGCTATTGTTTTGAAGATGTAGATTATGCCCCATGAATAGCAGAGTTTTGCTACCCTGGAGCACTCATTATTGAAATTATGAATTATGCATTCATTCAATGATGTTACACTACTCGCACCACACACATCCCCTCTCTCTGGGCACCTTCCAAAAACTGGTTACCCAACTAATTTGAATATAAATTTAGCTCATAAATATATATAAGGCGATTCACGGCAGACGGTGCGGCGCCACCGTTCTGTAACTTTTTTTGGGAAGAAAAACACCAACTACTTGGCGAGAACGAGACGACATCAGGTCAAGCAGTCAAGACAACAACTGCCCCACACAAAAACTACAATAATGCGAAGGAAACACTTAAGCTTTTATGTCAGACATCTATGGATGATGAAAGAGGGCCAGGAGGAGCAGGACGACCAGAAGGTCGGAAGGTTTTTTCTGCCGGTTAATATTTAAACAAAAGTTGTTTTCCTCTCTGTGTTGTCGGGTGTTGCAGCATGTTTTTCTTGTCCTGCCAACTTTTCGGGGGCGTTCACTGGAGAGCATCCTTATCAACATCATCATCAACATCAGCATTACCCTGTCGGCATTCTGGGGCACTTTAGTCTCGCGGCTTGGCATAAATTATGCCGTTAATTAAGTGTCTGTGAAGCTGTTAATAACAAAATGAATGGCAATTATCAGCAAAAAAGATAAATGTAAAGCAGGAAAGTTAAAAATTAAATAAAAATACTTGAGCCTTGACGGACTCCTTTTGTATTTTTTTGTAATGGTCTGTCCTTGTTATTTTCTTGGTTCGAAGCCCTTTCGAAGTCAAGCCACCAAATCTTTTCAATGTCAATAAATTTACATAAATTACAATGTTGAAGGCAAGGACTTTCATATTTTACTTTGAGGTATGACATATCCATGTAGTCGTTCAGCTCTGTGTATTAAAATCAATAAAATAAATTTAATGACCACGATGGATCACACTTTTTGTTATGAAAGAAACCTCTATGCATACATTCTCTTATAAAATGCACAAATAAAATTACCCACAAGAGCCGAAGCTTTATTTCAAAATTCAAGCTTAATTTTTGCCATATTTTCGCACACAATTTTCTATAATTTTCCAATAAATGTTCGTATAAACATATTGAATTACACAATTAAGGTTAAGGACATTCCACATTATATAGAAAAAAGGTCTAAATATGGCATATTATTCGCATAAAATATTTATATAAGTTGGAATACAAATTTGCTAGTAAGGACACACTTTTGGGGGGCAAAAAGCCAATGCCGCAACGATCAAAAATTCTTAAATTTATTCTCATTTGCTGCCAATTGAAACTAAATGAAGTTTTCCCCATGCGTGCTAAAAAATCCTTTTCTCATGGATGGAAAAAGAGTGAAAAATTTAATGAATATTTATTTAAATGAGAGCAAATAAACCTCAATGGAAACTGCATATTTTAAACACCAGTTTTCGAAGTGAAAACATCCAACAGATATCCACGGTTTCTAAAAACTTTTTAGAAATACCTTGCCCCAACTCCTGGAGCTGCCAAAAAAGGATTCGTCGACTTGTGATAAAATCATGTGTTGATTTCCAAGAACAGATACTGTTTTCCGAGAGGAAAACCTTGCTAACTAAATTATTCCCAAGAGACGAGGGCGATACGGGCGTGGCTGTTGAAATGAGTGGGACGTGTTCTCATCGAGCACCGCAGAAAATAACAATTTATGGGCTCCTCCTCCATTGAGGTTGGAGGAGTGAGGACAAGGAGCTGCATTCGGCAGGCAGATGGCAGCTGTGCATGGCAAGTAGGTGTTAAATATTTAATGATTGCCAGAGCGCAAACCGGAGGGCTCCCAAAGCAGCTCCTGCGTTGTTGCAATTCGGTAAGTGCTCCTCCCAACGCTCCTCCACAGACACTCGGATATGGATACAGCAGATACACTGGAGAATCGAGTGCATACAATATGCCGCAATTTATGCGCACAATTGGGCTGCCACGCCCACAATCAAGTCGGCACACGTATTCCATGCCCCATACCAGAGATCGTTGGGGGCAAAACCAAATGCGACCGCAAAACTAATTGAAATTGCCAGCGCAGGCAGTTGCCATTAGTTTGCCTTTTCTTGGTGGTACGATGGATGGTAGGACGGGTTGACAGTTGCGTGATTGTTGCAAGTTCGTGTAACCACAATGAGGCTGTGCCACGCTTGTCTTACACCAGCAATGCGTATTTGTAATTTCCGCACGGCGCGAATAGGCATTGGATTTGCATGGACAATGAGCTCAACTCTTAAGCTCCCTTGCAGCCCATTAGCTGATATTAATTAGTGAAGCAATTAGTAAAGCCAATGGGAACATGATTGTTGAAAAGAGTTTTACATTTCGGGATATGTATTGTTTGCTTAATTTTCTAGCTATTCCGGGATGTGTGCGGGGGCTGTAGGCTTGCAAAGGCTTGCTACTCTTCTTTTCCAACTACTGCTTTTACGCACTCTTTCTAAGTAAGGACTTTAGCCCTTCTTTCTAATTTATAGGCCTTTAGCAGCTGCTTTTAGGATAATACTTTACTTTTGCCCTCTCTTTATGGATACTTTTACTAAAGCAAATCATTCACTTCGTTTTTATGTGCCATCTAACTTTGCTTGTTCCCTCACCAACGGGACAATGAGACAACAGGAAAACAGCCAACGAATATATATGGCCAATACGGAGATAACACAAACAAACAACATGGCAAGAACAATAAAAGGGAAACATCAACTCGAGAAGTCATCATTGGTGGAAGGAGCGGAAACCTTCAATGGAGGGATGGTGGTACGACTGTTTGCCCGACTCGATGGTCTTTTTACAGTCGGGACAATGACAACAATGAGCAGCAATGAAGCGAAATGAATGAGTGTATAAATAAATGAATGCAACGTTTCAATTTCTGTTCGATTGCCGAACGACGGTGCGGACCTTGGACTTTGCTGGGGAATCTCCGCGAAAAAAAGAACACACAATATATGGTAGATACCACTTACCACACAATATTTCTCGCTCTTTTTGGTGCACTCCTTCAGATAGAGATGGGCAATGTCCTTGGTGTAGTTGGTGCAGGGCGTGATGGAGCCCACGCCCTCGTTGTACTGGCCGCACATGTGGCACTTGAGGCCGTCGGCGACTCCCAAGCTGCCGCTGCACAAAACAATGGCCACCAGTAGGGCAGCGACCACCGTGGCCCGACTGGCCCTAAACAGAGGTGTGCCACCCGTCAGGCTGCTGCTGGACATCGAAGCAGAGGCAGATGCTGATGCGGCAACGAGTACTGAGGATGCAGGATGCATGGACGAGGATATGTCCTCGCCGTCGACGGCATTTGTTGACATTGCCTTTTGGTTAGAGCGCGACATTTTCATATGAGTTTCTGACCTTTAACACAAAACACACACACTCACACACACACACACACCGCACACAAAGGAGGAGTCGACGGGCAGACTGACGGAGTGACAAACAGTATGCGTGCACTCACTGAAATTGCAGTTGATTCTCTTTCTTTTTGCTTCTTTCGGTAGCTTTTGTTTCTGTTGTGGTTACTTGATTAATACCTTAATGTACAATGTAGAATGTACTCTATTTGGCTTTCGTCTGCTTGTAACTTTGATGGCCTTCCTTCCGTGTTGTTTATCACCAGCTCCTGCCAAAGGTCAATGTTGGTTGTTTTTGTGTGTGTTTTGAAAAAAACTTGACTGCAAATGAAAGTTGATCTTTAAACGAAATTGCACGTGATGGAGATGAAAGCAAACAGCAGAAGTGTTTCGGCATACTTCAGGCTCAGTACGTAACAGTTCTCATATTCTTGGAATTCTGTTATGAAAACTTTAGCAAATGAAAATAGCTTAGCTGTGAGTTGGTACTTCAAATGGATAAGAGGCAATTTCCACGAATCAAATGAAATTAATCTCTCTAGTTGTGTCAATATAATTAAAAGAGATTTTCTGTGTTACGAGAACATTTGCCTGTCACTGAACGGATTTTGCAATTTCCCTAGAATTGAAATTAATCTATTTAAAGTGTCAATCAATTGATGTGGCAAATTCTGCCCATCTGTAAAGAGAGAACTTTCGAATGCTTTATCATGATCCAATCTTTAGTAGAATGTTATTTATATCCGTGCAGATCTTGAGCTGCACTTTCAATGGAAAACTAATCAGATAACTTTCAAGGAAAGTGTTATGCAGCTCATTCTATGGAAGACATCGACTTAAATCACAAAAGCTGTCGATGCGTAAGCAACTTTTGTGGCATGCACCCAGCATCAGGCCCCCTGGCAGCAGAGAAATGTTACAAATTGCCAAATGCTGCCACGCCCTTTGTTGGGCTGCTGTGAAAGCTCTGGAGCCAGGCTACGACCACACACGGCTGCACGTTTTTCTCAAAACTCAAAAAATTGTTTTCAAATTGCTTTTGTTGTTAGTTAAATGCGTGTCTCTCAGCTAGGGCTGCTGTGTGGCACTGAGGGATGGCTAAAAGTTCTTCTATGTGATTTCTGTGTTGAGTGTTTTCCACGAAATTTCCGGAAAATACAAGGAAAAGTACGTCGGGGGCGACCCAAAATCGTATTACTGCCACCTCGCACCTTTTGGTTGCCTACTGTCGGCTTTGATTTGATTCGGTGAAATATGGATGATGCCTGAGTGCCACACGGAGGAGCACGGGATCAATTCGTGCTCTGTGTCTCAGGTATTTCGAAATTCTAGACAGAGTATCACGCATACGCCATGCTCAACAGCCAATTAACGATTCATTTCAGATCTTTTTTGTTTTCGCTGTGCTTTTAATTAAACGAATGAATGCAATGGTCCATCATAATGGGCGATGGATGGCCTCTCGCATTCTGCTCTTCTCATCCAAATGAAATATATTTTTCTCATTTTTGCATTCTCAATGGCACAGTGTAACCACACAAAAGCACCAACATTGACAAGATCTGTCCGCTGGGATAATCCCAAAAAAAAGGGTTATGGGTTCAGAAATGTTTCGGCTATATTTTGGATATATTTTTCATGTTTTCGTGGATATTTCACAAATGTTTCGTGGATACTCTCTGCGTTTTCAGAAATATTTCACTAGTCTTAGCTTCAGTTCACTCTTTAGTTTTATAATTTACAAAAAAAAGTTTTTCCAAGTCCTCCAATTCTTTCACATTTGAAATGTTTTATTTTATATTTATGGTTGAAGAAATGTTTCTAATCAATATTCAATATTTTAAGATATATTTCATAAGTTTCATCTTTTGCTTTGAGATGTTTCAAATGTTTGGTTAAAACCATTTTGCAGGCTTTTAACGTTTATTTCTTTGTTCACTCTTCAGTTTTTGAACACATTCACTGACCGTTTCTCTAAAATATTTGATTTTCAACTAATTTTTGCTGAGTCCGTCTAACCGTGCGTTTCGTCAGGGTTGAAAATGTTGACTGCAGCGGCTGAAAGCAGAGGAAACAAGAACCGTGCCACAAAAGGCATGACGATGGCGATGCTCGGGTTTTTTTGCGGCAGCTTCGCGTTGCCTTCGTATTGGTCCAGTTGCGCAATGCTGCTCAAACAGTTTTATTCTGCATTTTTGGTGGTACAGTTTAAGAATCGGCGGCGTTGAATGTTTTAGTTCTGTTAGAAATTTATCATTTTTGTTAAAATTATTATAGAAGAGGTTTTAACTTTCAAAAACAACTGAAAATTATAAATAAAACGACTAGAAATTGTAAGGAAATGTGAAAGAAATTAAGATAAAGTTCTTAGCACCTTTTCAGTTTGTTGCAGTTTGAGAGTAACTGCTGTGCCGACCTGCCCGTTACACTGCTTTATCCACCAACGCATTCAAATCCACAGTTTTGTACTGCTAGAGAACGAAGCAGTTCAAACTGCTTTTCAGCAAAGGCCTTGGACTGTTCCCACCAAAGTGCATCGCGCTCCTGAACTGTTCTCACTTCACATTATATTTCATACAAAATGCAACCGTAAGCTCGTACCGAACCTGTCACGGCTTGCACCTAGGAAATCCCATTCTTTATTCCTTATTTGCTTTCAATATTGAAATAAAAAATCCGATTGCCTTATCAACCGCCACGAGCAATGTCAGTGGACTGCCAACCAATGATTTATGGGGCAGGTGTGAGAGATACGTCTTTAGAATTTATTGGTTGGAATTTCCGTAACTATGCCAATATGATTTGGCTCTTTTTAATCCAGTCAATGTACTGGGAGACCTTACAGTAGACACCCGGGAAGGGCGCCACAGTGCAGGGCTTGATGCTCCACGAAACGATGCCCACCTGCTGGCCGCCGTAGAGGAGGGGGCCGCCCGAGTCGCCGCTGCACTGTCCCATGCCACCCTCATCGACACCACCGCAAATGTGGTAACGGGGATCCGTGGCTCCCTTATGCCGAGTAGTGCATTCCTCATCCGAGTAGACTTTCAGATCAACCTCCTGGAGTGTGGTCTGGATGGTGCCGCCAGTCTAAAGGTATAACAAAATAATATTTAGGGCTTGCTGTGGAGAGTCCTGAGAAGCTCAAAACCTACCGCATTTAGACCCCAGCCAATGAGCACACCCTCGCCGCCATTATCCGTCTGAGGAGTGGCAAAGGCAAGCGCTGGGAGCTTCACGGGCGCCACAGTAATAAAATCGAACACGAACGGCACCTGCACCATCAGCAGCGAAATATCGTTGGCATAGTTATTGTAGGGATTGTACAATTCATGCTGGATGATTTTCTTCACACCGACGACATGGGGACCCGCGGAATTGATCTTTGTCACTCCATACTGCACGGAGAGCTGATTCGCGGTGCGACCGTCAGTGCAATGGGCGGCAGTCATGACAAACTGCTGAGAGACGATGGAGCCACCGCAGGAATGCGAACCGGTTGGACCACGCAGCGATATCTGAGAGTTGAAACACAGCCGTAGGAACTGTTTATCAGTAATCCATCATCCGTACACCTTACCACAAAGGGATAGGCCTCGATGCTAGAGTCCGTGCCATTGACCACACGACCATTAGGGGGCGCCGCCTGGCCCAAGCCAACAATGGCCAAAAGTACAAGCGCTGCCAGCGAAAGATCTTTATGCGACAACATTTTAGAGCAGAACATGTACACTCGCCACTTGGCCACACGCTTATATAGAGCGCCTTGGCCACTGCCAATATCGGACTGCGCACTGATTATGATTGTTTATGATCCCTGATTAGAGGAGAGCGAAGGCGCTGGCTATGGCTATCGCGGCCGGTACGAGTATCTTCAGTGACATCAAACGATGCTTTGTTCGGTTATCAATTAAACAGTTTTAATCAAATTAAGAACAATGAACAAAAGAAGGCATAGTTTTGGGGGATTCGACCTTCCGTGGAATGTGTTGGTTCTCTTGATGTTGAGCTTAAAATACAAAATTGTCAGGATATAAAACTTAACAACATTTTAAAACGAAAGAAAACAAAACAATTACAATTGTTAAAAGAGAGGAAGGCCATCAATGTTAAGGCTAATACCGCTGTTCCGTAATGAAACTTTGGCATGATTTGTACATACAATTAAAATACTTGAAAATAGTTTCGTTTGGGGAAGCGTTACAAAAAGCTGCTGTGGTTCTGTTGTACATAGAAAGCAAATCTATTATAGATATATCTCTGTATATAAGAAGGCTACGTGTCTATGCGATGTACCTCTAACATCGGTCTACAAAAATACTCTAACAAGTGCGCACCAGGCGCCGAAAAATTGCTCATCATTTCTGTTTTTGTTTTTGTCCTCTTTTTTTGTTACTACTACTGTATGCTGCAGCTGCGTACCGTGGACAACTTCTGTTCCTCCTCGTCCAAGTTCTTCGCGCTCAATATACTCTTGATGCTTTCCGCCTCCTTCATCCAAAACTCCAACTAAAATAAGGCGAAAATGAGCATTATAGCGCAGCAAAAATTATATAAATTATCATACCTGTTGCAATAATAGATTGCGACGCTCTCCCTTTGGTTCATTGTTCACGAAAGAAACCAGAATGCCCAGCGCTGAGGTATACGACTCCAGAGCTGCGTCCAGCTTCCGTTCGTACAGATAGAGCTCTCCCTTGCGTCCGATTTCCAGGCCTGTTTTCAGGGACGGACTAGAGTTCGACAAGGCAACTAAAATGGTATCCAAACATTAATTATAAGCCCAACAACTCTTATGCTCCTCCGCATACATAGCTGCTTGTAGCGCGCATCTGGCTCCAGCATTTCAGTCACACGCGAACCACTGGGCTGTGGCTCTGCGGTGTGGGGAGCCTCTGTGGAATGTCCGGCTGCTAGTGCAGCGGCAGCTGCCTTCTGTTGCCGCATTGCCAGCTGTTTGTACTCATCCTCGATTATGCAGTTCTTGATCTCCTCGGCGCGCTTCATGTAGGTCAGAGCTCGGTTGCGCAGGGCCTGCCGCTTGGGGGCATCCGACTCCTCCGTGATCAGCGGCACAAAATATTGCAGCGCGCTGCAGTATAGATAATAAGCCTCCTTGTAGTTGTGCTTCTCATCGTATTCACACGCCTGGGTGACCAGATCGATGGCCTTCTTCAGCGTGTGCTCCGTGGGAAACGTCTTGAGATCTAGAAACGGATGCGCAAAGAAATCCGCAAAGGAAATGCGTGCCGTTGGCTCGTGGGCCAGCAGGCGTCGCAAGAGATCGTGACACTCGTTGCTGATGCGAGCATTTGGTGGCAGTGTGATGGGTTCAGCGTTGCGTATCTTCAGCAGCAGCTCCTCAATGGTCCGCGAGCTATATGGCGCCTTGCCGAACAGGCACTCGTACAGGATCACGCCAATGCTCCAGAGATCCGCCTTGGCATCGTACTGATGCTTGCGCACAATCTCCGGTGCCATGTACAGCGGTGATCCCTTCAGCTGCTGATTGATCTCGCCCAGCTTCAGGTGCTGGGCAAATCTAAGGAGAGAGATAAGAGTTGGAGCAATCTTTTGGCATGGGTTTCCGTCTGTTTACCCAAAGTCAGCTACTTTAAGAGAGACATTGTTGGCTCCTCGTGTGAGGAGAAGGTTCTGGGGCTTCAGGTCAAAGTGGGACACATCATTGGCCCGCATATACTGCACGGCGGCGGCCAACTGGCGTAGAAAGTAGCGGCAGGTGGTCTCCGGCAGGGCCTTCTTGGTGCGTATAAAAGCAGACAGGTTGCCGGCATTGCAGTACTCCAACACAATGTAAATGTTCCTAGCGCAAAGACTTATCAGCATGAGTAACTGTATTATGTGGTTGCTATCCACCCGTGTACATACTTATCGTCCCAGAAGAAATCCTGCAACGTAACAATGTACTTGTGTTTGAGGTCCCTGAGGAGGCGTATTTCCGTTATTAGATTCTCCCGCGAGGTTTGCGATAGCGATGACATTTCCACATACTTGATGGCGTGATAAGTGCGCTGCTTCTGCAAATGGTTAAATGTTGTACATTTTAATCAGCTAATTGAACGAAAAGTGTTTGTGCGTGTGTGTGTGTTTGGTTTGTGCATGTGACCCACTTTGTGGCGCGCTTTGTAGACGGATGCATAGCTGCCCACTCCAAGTTTCTCGAGTATATCATAGTCCGTGATGCGCGGCAGTGACATGTGGATGTGGTCATTTAATTCAATTGTTGTTAGCTGCACAATAATTGTTTGTTTGTTTTTTGGTAGTCAAGCAGTGTGGATAACGACGAAAAGAGTAACATAACCCACTTAAGCCCCCTGCTTTTGAACAGAGTTAACACCTTGACTAGCCAAGCAAAATAATGCTGTTTGTATATCTATCCCTAAAAAAAATAATTTAGAGGGAAGTTATAAATACTACTCTCTTTTTGTTTATAGCTAATTGTATTCCTCGATTTTGATTTTAATATTTTCATATTAATTTTTTTTGGATTTTGAATAAATTAAGTTTTAACAAAAAAATGTAAACTAAAAATAAAAGCATTAAACGTAAGTAAGGAAATGTTACGTTGCGTCATTGAGCCACTTGTTGCTTGTCTGGAGTGTCTGCTGTACAAGAGGGGCTTAAGTGGGCTAAGTTCCTTTTCTTCCTCGGTATATTTACGGTATTTTTTTTAAATGAAAAGGTATATTTTGGTATATTTCTGAGGCTCAGGCGGTATATTTTGTTGCCACACAACGGTCGCACTAAAAACAGCTAATTCTTTAATTTGTTTAAGGTAAATAAATGCAAAGATGCATTAAATATGCACAACATGAACATACCAGGTGTTGCAACAGCTCTGTAGTTACAGCTGGTGCATAAGTGTTTGTCAAACGTGTGAATTTGGCGTTCAAAGTTTCTCGATTTCAAGCCAAGCTTGGGGCGTGCATTGGGGCGACACACCCAAAATAACAAATTAAGCAAACACGCCCTACAGACTATCGCAATGTTTAAAATCTGTTGCTTACTTCTGCTTTATTAACGTTCTCCTGCAGTTATTTTATAGACTGTTAACCGATAACTACTGCTGCACTACGTGACGTCACTTGCAAGGCTTCAAGATGAATTACGGCAGGAAAACGCCCTCCACATATCGCTCCAATCCCTCGGTGTACTCCCATGCCACAGGAAGGTATGTATTTTATAGATAATGCTCCAACGATGGGCTTGAATATCTAGCGTATTGCCTATCCCTGTAGATCCTCGACAAATCTGCACTCGAAGATGTCGCGTTCGACGAGGTCTGTAAGGATTCCCTGGTACCAGCGGCCGCTGCTCAAGAACAACCAGTATATTGATATACAAAAGGGTGCCATGCTCATTGGCCTGTTTGCCATTGTAAGACTTTAATACTGAGCCCTAACTCCGTGTATTAATCTCCTGTTCGTTGCAGTTCCTTTCACTGTTTACCATTGCCTCGAGCATCTTTGATATCTACTGCTATGCCATGGCCGCGCCTGGGTCCACACATTATGGCTACTACATCATATCCTATGAGTTTGTCTATGTGGGAAATAAGCATGGTATGGAATCGAAAGGAAACCCATTTTAACACACAAATAACTTTAAATTCCTTTCAGTGCGCAACATGTTGATTGTGTTTGCCCTGTTCTCCTTGATCATGGCCTTAATTAACTTTGTGACCAGCGTACTGCTGTGCGTGGCGCTTCGCAAGGTAAGTTGTGGGCTTGATGATGGTGCTATAAAACATTTGCATGGATTTCATTTACATTTCTCATTGCCCGAAAGCAAGAAAAACTGGGAGCACAGAAACGTTTACTGAGCAAACGGGTAACAAATGCATCCAGCACAATCATGAATCAAGAAATTTTGCACTTGTACCCCAACCCCCCACAACCAATTGGCGCATTTCCTGCTTTGTTTATATAGTAATCGCCATCTGATTCCTCTCACTTGTCAGGAATACGAGCGGAAGGTGATGCCCTGGCTGTGGACCTTTGCTGTGTTCACCGTCTGGCGTGCCCTAGCGCTGATCTTCTTTGCCATTGTCAATGATTTGTACTTTGCCTACAATGTGATAATGGTGATACTGTGGAGCATCTTCTGTCTGTTCTCCATCTATGGCTGGGCCGTGGTCTATTCGCTGTTCTTGGAACTGGTGGATCTCACCAAATTGGAGGATCTGGCTCATTTACGCGCAAGTTTCTGTGTTAATACACACATACAGCATATACCTAATGATTATTTCTTGTTGCAGATGGGTACAATGGCCTCGCTGCATGCCTCTACAGCTAATTCGCTCGCTGGTTCACGCCCCACAACTCCTCATAGCACCGTCTCCACAATGCCCGTTGGCTAGGAATCCTATTCTCTATATGGGATTAATCACAACGAAATTGCACAAACCATACCGTCCAAAAGCTGCACCAGACTACACCCCCGATGCGCTTTCTTTCCACGAACCAGCATTTAAATATTTAAAAGTGTGTGCATTCCATCCAACAGTATAGTGCCTTAAAGATGCGTCTATTGAAAACCACAAATTTTATACACGAATCTGCATGAATAGTTATTAAGTTTTAATCCGTCCAACAGTGCATCTGTATCTGTGTGTTCTCTAATGTTTTTTTATATTGTTAAAGAATCTCTCCGCCTTTATGTATGACAACATATAGTGTTTTTATATACATATGTATGTATTCTGTGTACAATCCGAACAGTAGCTATATTTGTATTTAAAGTACTAAGCGACAAGCAATTATACAAAACAAAATACAAACATAAATTAGTTTGGTTAATGATGGATCTTGGTCGTTGGAATGGATCATTTTCCGGGCGTTGACCATACGCCCACCCTTAAAAAGCAATACATCTCATTCTCGGATGAGGCACAGTGAAGCCAACAGGGAATTTATGGCACAATTTAGGGTTACCCCAATGAGAGAAATGAAACAATTGTTAATCCAAGATTCGACACTCTTTTGTCAGTACATCTAAATAGAGATGATCTCTCAGAGTTAATGATCACAGTTCACTTATGGGACAATTATCAGGCGTTTACCATACGCCCACCATTGAAAAGTAATTCATCTCAAATCATGATGATTCATTTAGACAATAAAAGGCACAGTGGTGCAACAGCTGCTCAAAGTTAACCGCTGTAAATTCAGAGAAGAGGAGTCCAGCTTATGGGGGGGGGGGGGGGGGCTCCCTATTAATCACTTGGATGAACTTCAATTGTATTTCACTTCCAAGGAACAATCTTTGAAGCACATTTGCTGCTGGACTTTCCATGAGTGTGCAATGTGCGAAGCGAACGCATTTACTGGTCATTAACACCCGAAAATATATTATGAGCCCCACACAAACGTGGGCAAAGTGGGGCAGTTCAAGAGCACAGGCGACACAGGCACAGATACAGACGCGAGCAAACGCGATGGAACTTGTAGATGTGTGGATGCGTGTGTGGAGGCCAAACAAAGTTCAATCAACTGTTTTTGTTAATCATGACGACGGCGACGACTCTTTCTATAGAGGGGTGTTGGTGGTGCATCGGTTAACCGGAGTTTCCTCCCTCCTTAACCCCACACGACTGCAATACTTTCACGGCCTGCTGCTAATGATGGCGCATTCAGGTTTCACTCTATCATCAGCAGGGGGTGAGCGCATCGCAGCCCACTGGGTTAATTTAAACAATTGCAATTGGGCTTCGGCTGGAAAACAAACTACGTCATAATCTATCAACACTGGAGGGGAGAGGAATAGTCTTTGTTCCTCTCTCTGTATCAGCTGTAGAACGCCATTTGTTGCATGCGCCATTGACTTATCATCAACATCAGAAATCAGGAAGAAGCAACCAACCTACCCCCCTGCAAACCAAGCAAACAATTGCTGGGGGGATTGCTACGCATTAAAGTTTAACAAATTGCGTTGTCTCCAAGTCCTGAGGTTGCACTCTCGCACTCTCGCACTCTCACTCTCCCCCTTGCTCTGTCACTCACACAGCTGTTGATCACACCGCAAACGGTAAATGTTCTTGTCGTGCACCTGTCGTCCCGTTCCTTTCCCCACAGGTTGAATGCACCAAAGCAAAATGGGATAAACCCAAAGTGCATTAGTGTAGGGTGAGGTATTTTCACGGAGCGCTCTTTATGATAAATGATACGTAACATAACATAGGGTTGAAGTTGTAAAATTGTCTGTGCGTTTGGGAATTGTTGACACACCTTGGGATAAACAAAAATTGTTAGCGAGATGGAGTGAGTGCGTCTAAAACATATGCACGAAGCTTTAGTCTGTTCCTCTTTCACCTTGTCCGATTTGCTTCCACATGCTCAATTTATGGTCCTTTTCCCCATATGGCTGTACAATGCACTCGCTCTCACACTCAACCTCGTACCAAAGTAGCATTCATGCATGTACACATGCATGTGAAAATTCACCCTCTGCTGTAGCTTCCCCTGCTCCGTTATACATATGTACATGGTACATTTTGTAAGACGCACCTTGTTATCAATCAGCTCTTGTACGCATTGTTTGTGCCACCTTTGTCTTTTGCACTGCGTCATTTCCAACGGGGCACTATGCAACGGTTGCCTCTGTATCAGACTCTCCCTCCCACCTCTGCTGATTGTTAAGGCTATTCACCACGCCATGTTATGCCACCCCCACACACATAGAGAAGTGCAGAGCAGGGTGCCTTTGTATTGAGTGGGAGTTGCCTATTTTTTCGTTCCTCTTTTTACAGACGCAATGGAAGAAAACTAGACAACTGCCATGGGAGCTCTCTCTCTGGAGTCGCACCTTGCCTGAATACACCTTGATTGACGTGACTTTTGCCCAACTTTTTCTGTTATCTCTGGCTGCGGGCAATACGTGTGTTTGTATTTTCCCACCTCACCATCAACGCTAGCTGCGACGCTGACAGCGCAATTGTTGCTATTGCTAAAAACAGGAAATAATTTTCGTTTTCTATAGAAAACACTGCCAGCGCGGTCGCTGCCGACGTTACCTTCGCTGGCGTCGCTGTTGCGTGTCTGATATTTTATTTTTAACGCTCTGCGACTTTAAATTTTTGTTCCTCTTATTTTACGTCTCGCATAATTTTCGTAGCTCTTTCGTAGCCTTGCTGGAACCCCCGCACAGGGTTTCCACGGAGTTCGTTAGCTTTGCGCTCTTATTTATGTATGTGTGTATGTATTTGGCTGGAATTTCAATTTGTTATTATTTTTATCAACCAAAAAAGTCGTCGGCCGCAAGGTTAGTGCAGAGCG